TGCTAACGCTGCTGTCAACATACATGCATTTCCACAAGGCCAAGCAAGCATACTACCCTTTTGGCTTCCAGCATTATAAAAACACTGAGCATAGGCTCATGGCAGATCAGCAGCACAAAAACACTGTCTCAAATTGAAAATCAGGTGGGAAGGGATCTCCAGAAGTCTCTAGACTTGCTTAGAAATCTCTAGTCTGTGCTTACAGCAGGGTAACTCCAAAGTTAGACTAGGTTGCTCAGGGCCTTGCTCACACAACTTCTGAACATCTCCAAGGATGGAGATTCCCTGGTCTTTCTAGGCACCTGTTCTGTGGATGAACTGCTCTCAAGGGGAAGAAATTTTACCTTATATATAGAGAGAGAATTTCCCTTGTTGCAACTTCTGTCCATTGTTTCTTGTCCTTTCACTATGCTGCTTTTTCAGAGTCTGGCTCCATCTTCTCTACAGCTTTCTTTTAGGTAGGAGCAGACAGCAATTAGATGCCCCCATGGCCTTCTCTCTTCAACAAACCCAGCTCCTCCGGTCTTCTTGTGCACTGTGTGCTCCAGCACTCCACTGCGGGGCCCTTTTGCTGGCCATGCTGCAATTTGTCAACATCCATCTTGTACTGAGAAGCCAGTCTTGGGCATAATCTCCCAGCTGGGGCTTCACACCTCTCAAATGGAAGGGAACAATAATTTTCCTTGATCTGTTGACTACACTTTTGCTAATGCAGCCTAGACTGCAGGGATCCTTCATTCCTTGAAGGGCTTACTGCTGAATCATGTTCAGAATGCTTCTTGAGACTTTTTGTGGTGATCCAGTAATTTTGGTTTAAGCCTGTTGGGGTTATTGCCACGGAGAAGCTATCACTCCACTAGAACTGGTCTTGCCTGTGCACATGTGGTGTGCTTTGCTGTGACCATGCAAGAGAGGTCCCCCTCAGGCACTTTTTGACCTATGCTGAAGGTCCTCAGGCACAGCCCCTCTGGCTGTCTTGATGCATCCAGTGATACTTCTTCCCCCTCCCAAATGAGGGGATTTGTATTTGTGGCACATTTGCCTGAAAGTTCGGTAACTAATTGCCTCTTAGTACAGTGGCCAAATGAACTCAGTCTGTAGCTAAGGTTGAGCAATCGCAGGTTACCACATTCCTGCCCAACAGGGACCCCCACATCCCCAGTTCCAGAGCAACCTACTTCTTCCAGTGAAAAAGCATTGGGTTGTTGTTGCATATGCTTCAAATTCCAAAGTGCAACCCAGGTGTGTGGTTTCTGCTCCATGCCCTTGAGAGAGTAGATGTCACTATAATGCAATGATTCAGGCAAGCGTGTGCAGGATAACGCGCACTATAACTCTCTGTTACCATGTATTTCTTCAAACCTTAAACACTAACCATAGAAGTTACCAAGCAGGGGAAGATGCAATCTATTTCCATGCAGCAGAAAAAAAAAAAAAACAGGAATGACGTGCTGAAATGCTCTCTGCTGTGTGCTGCCAGGGGATTTAATCAGCCGATTGCCAAAGAGATGTCAGTTCCCTGAAAGAGTGAGGACAACACGCCTTGCTGAGAAATGTACTCACAAGATTAAAATACCAGCTTCAGGACAAACCTAATATTGTCCCACAACCGGATGAAAATTTGGTCAAGAATGAACAGTCTCCATCCTTAAAATCTGTGTCACTACATCATTACACCTTCCAAGCCATCTGTCCCTCTCTGCCTACTGCTCAGGTGCCCCCAACAAATTCAGGTACCACTAGAGGCAAGTGACTGAACACGTCAGGCCAGGTCTACCAGCCCTAGAAGCCAGCCAAGCAGGATCCCATGACACAAAGTACCATCTAGATTATTGGGACAGCTGCTGTGAACAGTGCAGTTTACACACAGCAGGCAAATGGTGTTCAAGCACAGAGCATACAGTGGCACCGTGAGCGGATGGTCTGTAATCATTATTGAAGGTCCAGGGGTGGGTGCCTTGTGTTAGGGTGTCAAGGAAGGTGAGAGATGAAGAAATCAGGTGAGCAGAAAAAAGAAGGGAAGAGTTGAGGTGGGAACATGACACTCGGATGTGACTGTGGAGGAGGTAACAGGGATAAGAGATGGAACAGGCAGTCAACATGAAGGTGTGTGTTTGCCACCCTCCTGGGTGAAGGTTGTGTAGAAGAGCTCGTTACAAAAGATGTGAGAGAACTGTTATTGTAAACTTGGGCTCAGCTGACTTTCTCCACACATTTTCTTTTCTGAGCTTGTCAGGAGCTGGTGCCCTGAGCAGAACGTGGGCATCCAGATGTACTATTTGCATGCTTCTGCTCCCAGGAGGGAGGCCCCGCTAACCTCCACCTACCACCTCTGCCAGGGCTATGTTACATTCTGCAGCTGCTTTTACGTTGCTGCTGGCTTATTTTCTCACCACACAATTGTAAACCTCTCTCAGTCACTCCCTCTCCAGCTACCAGCCCGGGCTGGCAGTGCCGCTGGGTGAACCTCACAGCTGGTGCAGCACGGTCGCCCCTCCTCGCGCAGCTCTGAGCCTGGAGATAGCACGCTCTGAACAACAAGTTGTATAGATGGAGACTGTACCAAAGCTGACTTTTCTAAAGAAATGAGCTGGTCTGAAAGCAGCCACTGGGCCTGGGGGTCTCCACTACGTGCAGCGTGCTACTTGCCCAGGGGCCAGCTCTTGGCCAAGCTTGCCCCTGTGCATGAGCATGGGGTAAGGAGGGCACCTCTTCGTGCCCCCGCCCCCCCCCCCCCCCTGCTGCCCACACTGCTCCTCCCGCCCCCAGCACCAGCAATTATACCCAGTTTTTTAACTGCTGCAGTCCTCAGTCAAGCCCAGCTGGCAGGTGTTATGAAATGCCAGAAGCCCTAAACACGTACGTGTGGGACATGGACACACCCCACCGGGGAGAAACCTGCGGTGGCGGCCAGGATGCTCTTCCCTGGTGTGGAGAGGGAGCAAGGGCAGGCAGGATAAGTAAGGGAGGGGGAGGGGAGGGCAACAAAGAGCTGGGAAAGACGGTGAAGAGATCATTTGTACTCTCCAGAGATGCATACCCGTGTTTCTCCAATTTTGCCTCCTCCTAAGGAAAGGAGATAAGAGAAATCAAGTGTCTGTGACAGATGTTAGTCACGCTGCCTCACGTGCTACTGAAGGGTGCTCAGCAGTGAAGGGAGGGAGGGGAAGCAGAAAACTCTAGGCACAGTAAGAAAAAATTAGCCACTTGTCCCACTCCTCAGCTGGCAATTACCACTCTTCCTTGTCCAATATAGAGTATTTTGACAAGCTCTCCCAGTTACCAAGCCCAGGCCAGCCCTCTTCTTGGAGGAGATTCTTGCTCTTATTTCTTTCTAGGCAGCATGCAGAGAGGAAGGAGGAAAGCTGAGAGGCTACAGGCGCCTCTGGGGCAAAGAAGAGGCAAAACAGACATCAGTGCCAGGACACAGTTCCTCTTCCAAGGCATAAGATTGAATACACTTGCCGCGTTGCAGAATAAGGAGAGAAATGTCACCTTCAGAGGTGAACTGACAATCACAAAAATAAATTACATAGACGACAGAAGAAAAAAAAAAAAAAAAAAAGAGATGAGCATTTGTGAATATTCATGAGCAAGTCAAAACCCCCAAATTAACAAGGAAATTAATTTCCAAACTGATTAGGCTGCCAACTCCTTTTATTTAAATAAATCAACAATTGCCTTCATGTGACTCCTGCTGAAGAACACAGGGCTAATCCTGGCTCCTCCCAGGAGGAATTTCTGTGCTGCCTGGGATGACCAATACCCCAGCACCTTCTGGGGACAGGTGGGTGCTGCGGCTCCAGCCGCCTGCCTCTCAGCTGCCAGGAGATTTCCCTTTGCCCACTGCTCCGGATGTTGTGGTTTCATGATTGCTCGAGCCAATCTTACCGCTGGCTGCTATAGTTGTGCTTTCCCTGGTCCCACCCTCTTACTCATGCTAGCTCTGAGAAGCTGTTCCAGCACGCCAAGCTGGCAGAAAACTCAAGCAACAGAAAAAAAGATTAGAAAAAAAATATTTCTCCCAAGTCAGAAAACAGCTCAGCCAAGTGCCCAGTGAGCAACACCACGGGTGAGGAAGGTAACTTAACCTGACTTGGGAGTTGGGTCCAGTGCCAAAGTTAGCCCTGCTGCGAGTGGTGGAATGGAGTAGATGGTATCTAAAGGTCTCTTTCCACTGAAATTGGAGTGTAAGGCAGGGCAGAGCTGCAGCTGCCAGCTTGGCTATCTTGTGGGGTGTCTCCAATTTGATGTGGGGGTGATGAGCGAGCCGGGCTCAGCAATCTTGCGGAGTGCCTTCGTGTTGTCTTCCCGGGGAGCAGGCTCATGCCTTCGCCCGCACCATCGCTAAGGCTCGAGGGACTGCCTGCCTGCAGCTTCGAGCGCGGGAACTCGTGCTGCACAGCAACGCGCCTGGTAGTGCCAGAGCACACGGGAGACGGGGGGAAACTGCCAGCCAAAACTTAGGTGGGTTGAAGCTGTCAAACTGAATTCTTAATGAGTGATAACGAGGGTGAGCTGCAGCCCTGCTCTGGGGGTCAAACTGCAGTTACAAATGAAAAAAATCACTAGTTGGGTGTGGTTATACCGAGCCACTGCCCTGCAACCGTGGAGAGAGGGGGAACCCTGCTCCCCTCCACACCTCGCCCTGCTGTTTTCCTGTTCCCTAGAGGCCTTGGGTGACTGCGACGGTCGTTTGCCAACCCGGTAGAAAAAGCAGGTTGCTAAAACTCCTTTACGTTGACTTAGCACAACGAAAGCGTTCAGCATTCGGCCAGGGAAGCGCTAGAGCCAGCACACGCAAAGGGGCAGGCAGGGACCGTCCCGCCGCGGTGGTGGCGAGCCTTCGGGCCCAACTCAGCTGCAACAACCGAGCCGCCCCGTCTCCCCGGGCTGGCGCGGCTGCCCGAGCCGCCGCCCGCCCCGCGCCGTCACCGCACAGAGCTCCAGCCGGGCCCTGCGCAGCGGCCGCCGGGCCGAGGCGGAGCCGGCGGGGCGGCCACTCCCGCGGAGGCCGGAGCGGGGCAGGCGAGGGCGGCGGGCCGAGGCGAGGCGCGGAGGCGGCCGGGGCTATTCATGGCGCGCCGCCATGAATTATTCATGAGGGCGGCTGTCGTCCCCCCACCCCCAGCGCCGCGCGCGTCACGCCGGGAAGGCCGCCTGGCCGGAAGCGGGCTCGCGGCCGGGCTCGGGGACGCCGCGCGCCCGCCCCCGCCGGCACAGCCACTTCCGCCCTTCCTCCAGCCCGCGGTCCCCGCGCGCCGGCTGCCCCGCGCTTCCGGTAAGCGCGCGCCCGCCGCCGCCGCCACCGGTCGGTCCCCGCGCCCGGCTCGGCTCGGCTCGGCTGTCCGCGGCGGCCCCGCTAAGGGAAACCTGCCCCAGGCTGTCGGCCACCACCGCTCCGCCTCTTTTTCAAGCGAAGCCGCCGATGACGCCGTTCCGCCGCTCCGGTCGGCGCCCCGGAAGAGCTGAGGCGCGCTCCGCCCCCTGATCCGGAAGCGACTCGCCGCTCCTCTTTCCGGTGAGGAGGCCGCTGCCGCCGCTGGAGTCGGGGTCGGGGTCGCCGCTGGGGGGTGGTGCCCGGTAATCCGCCGGGTGGCGGGTGTGGGCGCGAGGGGGCCCGGGGGAGCGGGACTTCCGGGGTCGAAGCGATCCGGAAGCGGAAACGGTGGAGGGCTGTCTGTCTGTCCGCTCGCCCGCCCGCCCGTCCCTCCGTCCCGCTGTTGGGCGCAGAGCGCGCCCGGGGGCTCCGTCGCGGGGGAGCTGCGCCGCGGGCCGGCCCCGCCTCGCCCGCAAACGCGCCGCGCCGCGGGGGGCGACCGGGCGGCGCGCCCCGCTCTCGGCCGCCGCCGCCGCCGTGTGCGCGCGGGGCCCCGCGGGGGGAGGTGGGTCTGGGCTCCCCCTCCCATCCCGGCCGGTCCCCGTGGGGAGCGCCCGCCCCCGCCCATGGCCGCTCCCCCGGGGGCTGGACGTGGCCGGCGGGTCCGGGGGCCCCGCGTTGCGCCGCCCGCTGTCAGGCCGGGCCCCGGGCGCCCCCGTAACCCTGGCGGTTTGTTTGCAGAGACGGCCCTGGAAGGAGGAGAAATGCAAGAGGAGGGAGAGTGAGAGGGGTAAGGAGCTCCTGGAGCTGCGTGAGTGACCCTCGCCCCGGGGGCTCCCGCCGGCTGCACTGCGGGGGAGCGGGGGGGGGGGGGTGGTGGGGGTGGGATGGGCTGCAGGGCCTGGCGGTGGGTGCTGGAAGTCACTTGAGCTCCAGGGTGTGGGAGAGGGGATTGACTGTCTGGAAGGAGCTGAGGCATAGGGTACGTCCCCTGCCAGGCACCTGTTCTGACAGAGGCTCAGTCGGTTGGGGTGGAGGCTACGCATGCGTTGGGGGATGGCACCAAAGTTGTTCCAGCTCTGGTGTGCGGGTTTGGGATTCAGGAGATTGTCCAAGCATGTTTGGGGTATTCCTGATGTGCATCTAGATGTGCTTGTTCTAAAGGTGTAGTGGTGCTTGAACTTTTTGGTGCTTATGAGCTTTGTGGAAGGATTTTTGCATTTGACCTAACAGCCTGTGTGGCCTTCAGCATCCTTAGTATTTTGCAGCAATTAAGCCTAAAAGCTCCTTGTTATTGAACAAAGACCTTGGGCAGACATAAAACAACACTGTAAATCACACCTGAGTGTTATACTCAGGGCCTTTTGTCAACTGAAAAATCTACACCGAATAGAAAATAAAAGCTAGGTATCTGGAGAATAAAGAAAACTGTATTAAAAGTCAACCTCTAAATACCTGCGTATCCAACCTTGATTGTGCCTTCCAGAAACACAGCCTCTACCTCACCGTATACTTGCACGTGCTTTTATCTGTCTGTTTATGATTAAAGTGATGACCTGCAAAGAAGTATAAGTCCAGCACGTTAAGTATGTGATTCTGTGAACTACTCTGAGATCTAAACTCCAGATTCCTTGTCCCTTGTGAGTTCGCTGGTTCACTCGGTTGTTTATTTGGTGTATGTACATTTGTGGTCTGTACATAGAAGGTGTTTTTGGTTTATATCAGGAGGGTACGTTGACATCTGTCTGATACTAGACTGGTGAATAGGAAGAAGGTCCCATCTCTGGCCTGTTTGTGGAAGCTGGGATGATGAAGGCACTGCAGTGGGAACGTGCTGTGGTACAGGGTTGAAGCTCCAGCCCATGTCTGGTAGTTATAGAGCAATTGGAAGGGTTACGTGCAGAGTTCTGGTAAAGTAAGTGTAAGCAGTGTTAAAGTGGGGGCTGCGAATAGGGGTGCATGTTTTCAAAATATCCTTTAGCCTGGAAGTGGGGTAGGGGAGGGACAACTCGGGGTACTAGGGCGGTAGTTTGGTGGAGGAATCTTATCTTTGTTTTTTTTCTCCCTTTGGAAGACTGGCTTGCTAGTGAGTTTGCATGAAAGCTTCAACTCTTACACCATTTCTCCTTTTCCTCCACATTCTTACAACTTTATCACACTTCAGCCTTTCAAGCCAAAAGTTTTGAGGCCTGATATCTGCTCAGGCATGAAGATTTTTGGATGGGGAGGTGGATTCTAAGAGTTTAAACGAAAACAGTGTAGTCAGTTTTTGAGATTCAGTAAGAGCCTTATTTTGACTTGCACACTTTGTAAATTGAGCAAACAAAAAGTTAGATGCTTTCTGAAGTTCTGGTAGGGGACTAGAGGGAGACAGGCAGTCACTGAGTGCCCTGGCCTGTGCTAGTCTGGAAATGGCCTTTCATTCCTTGTACTCTTTAAATAAGAAAGCTGTTGTGAGACTTTTGTTTAAACTGGCATCTTTCTGTTTAATGCATGAAGTTTGCAATTGAATCCAAGGGAGTCTTGGACCATTACAAAGTTTATTTGGAAAATGCATCTGATTATTGTATGAGACTTTATGTTTTTACAGAATGAGGTTCACTTTGATGTTTTTGATGTGGAAGCTAAGCAAACAAGGGTTTACTTATTTTAAAAACAAACACAAACAAACAAAACCCCAAACCCAAACTTGACATTCCAAACAAAAAAAAACCCTCTTGATTCAGGTGGTGCTCAGTTGCCAAGAATGTGTTATCTCTTCATGTGTGCTCATCCTGTGGAAGAAAAAAGTAATGTAATTAAAGCATTACATACATAGAGCCTTGCTGTGGGCAGTGTACTTAATAATTAATTTGTCTCAGAAAAGAAAGCAGAGGAAGGAAGGTAAGAGTCTTGCCCCATCAGATTCTGATTGAATCACAGCAATGTAAATCCACAGTAATTCAGTCAGGCAGCTAGCAGTCTGACTGCATGCCACCGATGCAAAGTAAATAATTCATCCTTAAGTGTGTTTATTGGTTGATTTGTAGTGAGTGAGTGAGGCAGGAATACTTGGCTTTGCTGTTGCGTGAGCAATTCATAAAAACAAAATTATCAGGTAATTTGGTTCATTTAAATACTGCCTCTCTACATAGAGGAAAATTATCTTTGCATTTTGGCTCACACGCAGCAATTTCACATGTATTTATTCTGCCCTAATACGTTTCTGGAAAGTAAGTGTTTCATGCTACTCGGGGCATGCTCCTCTGCTTATCTGATGTTTGAGACGGGCCCTTCAGAAACAATATTTACTCATTAATTAGCCTAGTGCTACATCGTAACAGAAACAGGAGTAGGAGAATTTGCAGGTAGCTGTGTGAGAAACCTACAGTGCTACTTTGTTTAAGCAGCTTGCTCTGCCACATGTTCTCCGAGCATAGTTTTTATCACGTGTATTTTACCTACCAATTTTGCCATATTTTTTTCACAAAAAGATGTATCTTCTTCTTCAGGAAATATTATTTTGTCAATTTCTTTAGGTTTTGAATAGCATTTTCACGAGTGTAATGAACTTTGTCTGCTAATGCTACTACAAGAGGAATGTAAGAATTAAGAACGGAAAGGGCTTCTTCAGCCAGGTGTTCCTAAAGAGCTATGCCTCTGTCTTCAGAGGGCTATCTTTTGATGTCTAACTGGTCCCCTGACTGCATGGAGAGTTGAGAAGGAACAGTGGGCACTTGGCTGGGGACAGAATCCTGCAGAATCTTGTCCCAAAGATGGGAATAAAATGGACAACAGGGAGCTGTGACATGATCTTACTCGGAGACAGGGTATCTCAGGAGCAGGGTAATCAGGTTGTTTTTCCACTGCCTAGTCTCATTGGATGAGAGTGGAGGATCTTGTCTGTCAGGAATATTGAGTGATATTTCCTGGTTTCTTTTGATGGTTGGGCTGGGGTGGTCAGAGCGGTGGGCAGCAGGAAGTTAGGAGCCCTGAGTTTGACTTCTTGGTCTGCTGTGGCTGTCTGATATCTTGGGCAAGTCTGTTTCCCTCTCTCTGCCTGTCCTTCTTCCTGTGTAACATAATGCTAATGTCCCCTTGCTGCATCTGGGTCCTTAGTGTTGGGCTGGGTGGAGGGACAGGCAAGGTCCAAAATTTTCGCTGCTTGTGGGGTCAGACTGTCTGTGAAAAATGGTTTTCAGCTGTATTTGCCTGGCTGCAGATGCACAGACTTCATAATTTGTGCCACGTACTTGGGTGGATGATGATTGGGGAATTTTGGAGGTGTTCTGGGTTTGCAGGCAGTCATATTTTTGCATGGAGGACTGTTGAGCAAGAGGTGTTTGAGATGGACACAAGCCCGTGGGAATAGCAGATACCTTTTTCCCCTGAAAATAATTTTTGGATTTGGGCAGATAGCTCAAAAGTGGGGAGAAGTTGCTCAAGTAAGACAGGGGAGATTAAGGAACTGTCACAGCATTAGACTGAGTCAGTTCCATGTTGGAGTCTCTTTGGGTTTAATGTTCTTCTTGTGTGTGTGTGTCTGTCTGTCTGTCTGTCTTCCTTCTTCTCCATTCCTCTTCCCTTCCCCCTTCCTCTTCCCCCCTGTGCCCAGCTAGGATGGAAGAATCTCATTTCAACTCCTCCCCGTACTTCTGGCCAGCAGTGCCCACTGTCTCGGGACAGGTAAGATCTTTGTCTTCCAACCTATTATGCTGGTGTTGCTTCCCGTTAGAAGTTCATGCATGATAAGTGTTCCTTTTGCATTTCTTGCTCAGCCAACTGCTGGGAGAAGCTGTGCCAGGGTATTCTAAAAGCCGTTCTTCCCATGCATTTAGATTGAGAACACCATGTTTATTAACAAGATGAAGGAGCAGCTATTGCCCACAGAGAAGGGCTGCAGCCTGGCTCCCCCCCACTACCCTGCCTTGCTGACAGTACCCACCTCTGTGGCCCTACCCACTGGGATCTCCATGGACTCAGACACCAAGCCGGAGCAGCTGACACCACACAGCCAAGCCCCTGTGACTCAGAACATCACCGTGGTACCAGTGCAGTCTGCTGGGCTCATGACAGCAGGTAGGGAACTCCAAAGACTTCAGCAACGTACGAAGGAGGCTCTGGGGTGGGAGAACAGGGGGTCCTGGAGAATCCTTTTTGGGCTGTAGATTATTCCTAGCCTTACTGGTGGTGTGGACTGCCTTGGCATGGTTCCACTGTGAATCTCTAGGCACTCCATACATCCACCCTCTTTATGGAAGTTTGACTTCCAGCAGTGGAGACTGGGAATGCGTTGGGGAGGGTAAGCTACTCTTCTGTTTGCATTGTAGTCAAAAGTAGGTGTATAAAGCTCGCTTCTGTGGGATAAGGAGGTTGGGCATAATCAGAGGTGTAATAACTGACTTCCTCCATCTTTCTTTGTTTGCAGGTCCTGGTCTGGTGATAACTTCCCCATCAGGTTCCCTGGTGACCACAGCCGCCTCTGCCCAAACCTTTCCCATCTCAGCTCCCATGATTGTCTCTGCACTACCCCCTGGCTCCCAGGCAGCCCTCCAGGTGGTTCCTGACCTGTCCAAGAAAGGGACAACCACCCTCTCCGAAGGTGGGGGGGGTGGCGGGGGTGGGGGAGTTGCCCCCAAACCGCCCCGGGGCCGGAAGAAGAAACGATTGCAGGAGTCAGGGCTGCCAGAGATGAGCGACCCCTTTGTGCTGTCAAACGAGGATGATGAGGACCAGCACAAGGATGGCAAGACATACAGGTGGGGAGCGGGGTTAAACTTTGACTAACATTGCATGGGGATAGGGGTGTATTTAACCCTTCAGAGCGTTAGATGGGGAAGAAGAGATCTCTGCCTTTTCCCTGTAGAGTCCCTGAGTAGAGAATCTTTCAGCTGCAGAAAGAGTTGAGTTTTCTCTCTAACCAGGATTGTTAGAAAGCTGGTGGGTTGACCCAAATCTAAGGATCTCCATCTTAGTGGCCAGCCTTGATTTCCTGAATATACAGATGTTAATGACTGGGATGTTATGAAGGCTAAACCGTATCCTTGATGCCACAGCCGGGTAGTATGGCTGCTGTACTGCAGAATGCAGTACTGTCTGGTGCAGCTGAGAACCCTAGTGTACCTGGGTGCTCCTGAATTAGGACTCCAGTCTGTGTGCATTGCCCCTTGTGATCTCCTCTTATTTCAGCATTCCCAACAAAACAGAAAAAAAAAAAAAAAAAAAAAAAAGTGTATTTCTGAATTAGGTATAAGGGTATTTCTGAGTCCTAAGGATATCAGGTAAGAGGGGGGAGAGTTCTTGAGCCCTGAGGTTGGGTTTCTGAGCTTGGAGGGATGTGGCTTGAGTTTACAAGGGAGTGGTGAGAAAGGGAGAGATTAACTAGGAGGAAACACTTAAACCAGAGGATAAGAAGTGTGAGTGTTTTAGAGAAGGTGGGAACCGGACAGAGCAGGCAAGTGCTGGGGTGGAAGTGTGACGGTCTGTCTTAGTTGGGAAGCGGGAGCACATATGGGTGATTTGGTGATAGATGTGTCTGAGAGATGATTAAGATCAGTAAGAGGCAAAGTAGTAGCCAAATGGAAACAGAAATAGAAGATGGTCCCTACTTGTTCTCACTTTCCTACTATGTGCCCATGATCCTGTCCCAAACAGTTTCCCTTTTTTTGTGGGGGGAGGTAAAGATTTATTTATGTTTCCGGAATTAAGTCATAACAGTATGAAGGCATCTATACAGAATCAGTGCATCCACTCCAGGCTCTGTTTCATTTTTAACTACAGCAATTTTAAAATGTTCACGTTTGGAAATCAATACAGTTAAATAGGTACAAAACCAGAGCTTGGATCAGCCTTTTTATTCTCTTACCCAACATCCCAGTTCTTCCACTTTGAAAATATAATCAGCGTATGGTGAAGAGGGGTGGGAGTGTTAGGTAGCTTGCTATTTGTAATCCCACCATTTATTTTGGGCCTTAGCCACAATTCCACACTACTCAAGCTGCTTACAGTCTGGGTTGCTAATTAGGTTGTTAAATATGTATTTACAGGGGACACAATTGGCACTGAACACTAGAATTAAAGCTGAACCAAGGCTTTAATTATAGCTCCTTGTTTACTTATAAGTTTGGAAAAAAATGCCCAAGACCAGGTGGAGTGACTCAGCAGAAACCTTATGAACACACATAGTCTGTGTAACAGCTCATGAAGAAGACTTTGCAGGGAATAAATGAATGAGTTTATATGTAGGAACATGTAATCAGGAAGATTTCCTGTCTTCATGTGTTTTGTTCGAGTGCAGTACCTCTGCCTCTTCCTCCAGCCCTCATCCAAAGCAGGCCTTCCCCTGAGCAGTGCTGAGGTGCAAGATAGCTAAATTGAGATTTACTGAAGACCACCAAAGCGTACTTCTGCCCTCCTTGGAATCTCTTTTGGCTGATGCTTTCTATGTGCAAGTTTAGAACTAAAAATGATTGTTGGAAAACTAAAGGAAAATGCTGTCTTCTCTTGGAGCTGTGGGAGAGAAAACCTTTGTGAAATACAGTAAAATTGTTTCTCCGTAATATGCATATGAATAGACTTGCATGTTAAAACTTTTGAGGACTCCTGGTTTCCTTCTGTATGCTAGAGGATGACTTGGGTAGTTCCTGTTACTACAGTACACAGACATATCCTAGCTAAATTTAAGACTGTGGGTGAGGTTCATCTACTCCTGCTCCCTTCTCAGGCTGGAGGAGTTGTTGTTTGTGGTATTCGTATGTCTATGTTTGTATGATTTCACTGATTCTTATGATGATACACTGAGGACAATTTAGTCAGATGCCTGAAAGGAGTTGTACTATATTGATCAATATGACTTTTTTTTTAATACCCATTATTATTTTGTCAGATTTAATTATTTTTTGGTCTTACGTTTCTTTTTAAGCTCTGTGAGCTCTCTTGCCCTGAGTGCCTGGGTAGGTGGCTAATTTCCACGATACCTGACCCCTAGTGAGTTGGTGAAGACAGAGTAAGGCGTTGAATGGCCAGCACAGCAAAGCAGACTTGGAAGGAATTGGGGCACAAAGGTGATACATGTATTGCAGCTCATCCCATTCTCTACTGAACGTAGAGATTCCTGTTTCAGCAAATGGCAGCTGTTTTGCTGCTGTATCAGCTCTAGAAGTGAATTAGTAGTCTGCTGTGAAAGTGGTGCAAGAATCTTTGTGGCTAGGTTTTTCTTTGTAAGAAGAGGTGTGAGGCTTTTGCTAATGATGGTATTGCTTGCAGATCATAGACATCTAGCCTTAGGATTAGTCTGACAGAGTCCTTGGTGCTTTGTGTTGTGCTATTAGAAGAATGCTTGAACTTTCAGGGAACAGCATCTAACCCAGTCCTGTGAAGCATTTTCCTTCATGAGTAATGTCACTTCAGTCTTGTCTGAATTCATTGTCAGCTCATTGTTAATGTTCTCTCACATCTTTGTAGAATTCACTTTTTCCGTGGAAAATTATATAGGCATCAAGAGCCTTTCTAGTAAGATGCTGGCAGCGTGAAACACATAGCTGCTTCTCAGTGCTTTAAAAGGTGCTGAGGAAGAGAGAGTGAGCATAGGTCCTGGTGACAGTAGTATTGTTTCTTAGTACTGTTTTAGTGCCTGTACCTGTGCACTTCTGGAAGTTTGTGGAGTGATGTGATCAGTGGACAAGGCTGATGAAGTGGTTCAGCCTCTCTGGGCCAGCTCATCCATTCTCTCTCTCTGACAAACAGTTGCCTAAATAGTTTCTTCTTTGCAAGAGGAAGAGAGCTCTCTATAGACATTGCTTGTTTCCAGTGTTAAGTTTGTAAAGGCTAGGGCAAATACTGGTATATAATCTGGAATGGTTTTGCAAACTGGGCTTTGGAGCCTAGGATACCAACAGAAGGCTTTGCAGGCTTGAGAAGAGCCTTGCCATCATACTGTAACCAACAAGCTCTCTGTTCCCTACTGCTAGTTCTGAGTTTCCCTACTTTCACTAGGCTGTGGGAACAGCAGGGAGTTTGGGTTTGGGAGGCAATAAGTAGCTTAGGGACATACGAAGCTTCTGAGATGAGTTCAGGGTGTAAAACTGTACAGAAGCCTTGGAAGGCTTAGCAAGAAGCAGAGCTGAGCTGTAGAAGGTGAAGAAGCTGGATGGAGGCCCCTTTTTACTGGATTTAGCATTGCTGTTTGGTAAATTTCCCATGGTTTTGAATAGATTTGAAATCTGGTGGCTATGGCTTTTGTAAGCCACATATATCTGTGAAAATATGGTCAAATTTGGCCAAGTTCTAAGCTTGGAAAAAATCTCTTCAGCATGCTCTGAGATGCTTTATAGTTTAGTAGTTGAAATATGCAAAGATTATATCCTCTTCAGTGTTTCTTGAGGCTTGCATGACTCCAGGCACTGACCAGACGGTCTCTTTCCACAGAAGAGATAAATACACTCTAACCTCTCAGTTCCTATTATGAGGCTGGACTACACGTGTACTCTCTGCAGCGATAAGCATCTTCTAGACTAGCACTGAAGGGCCAGGCGTGCTTTTCCTGCAGTCACAACCACTCCTCCTTCTGCTTCAGAAGGGAGTCTTCTGTGCCCAGTGTTGATAGTAACCTCCCCGTTCTGATGGGCACAAGGGCAAGGTGTGAGAAGACACTGCTTGGTTCAAATGTAGTAGGGACAAGAAAACCCAAGAGTCTACAAACTAGAGGAATGCAGCAGAGGGTGTGGTGGGGAGCCTAGTTGCAAAGGAGAGATGGTACAGAGATTAGCTATGAAGGGCCAAGACTGTGGGGAGGAAGAAGGAACCAGATCTGCTCGGGGCTATGAGGAGATACCTAGATTTAGCAGAACAGGTGGGGACAAGGGCGTGGGATGTGGACAGACCAATAGAAGTGTGGGGGAAAGGAGAGAAATGTTAGGTAATTGAGGGGATGAAATAGGGAGGAGCCACGGCAGCAGAGGATAAAGAGGCTGGGGTATGTGGATAAAGAGCTTGGGCCTGGGACTTGGTGCAGGAGGGAGGGGGTTGCGACAGGCTAGAAGACTAAAGGCAAAGGGGGAATTAAGTTTGAAGTATCAGGCAGAAAGTTTGACCACATTCCCTCCAAAGCCTAGAAACATGAAACCCAGTATTTCTAAATTTTGCCATGTCTCTGATGTCAGCACAAGAACGTGACATCATCTGGCAAAGAACCTCCCCCCCCCCCCCCCCAAGGCTAAAAAAAGGTGACAAACTACCATTGCTATCATTTATCATCCTAGCTGCAGCGGCAGAGGTCTGTGCAGTGGATCTTAAGATTGCTGATGACCAACGTGGGTGTCAGTATGATGCCACATGTTGGAATTTCTGTTTGCTTTTTTTAACAAGTAGTTCCGTGAGCAGCGGAACTAATGAAGCCTGGTTTCCAGCGGCTCTCTCCTGTGTGGATTCTCTGATGTCTAATCAAGGGTGAGCTTACTAGCCTTTCCCTCAGCAGGGGGCTCCAAGAGGGTGTCTCTTCTTTCCCCAGCTGCATATTTTTATGAAAATCATACTGACTTTAAGATCCTTACCCCTTTTACAGATTTGGTTGAAATTGGCTTATGATCTCAAAACTCTTAAGGAGGACAGGTTCCCATGCACATCCATATATACACACGCAGTTTGTACACATAAGCTTTGCTTTGTAAGTGAATGCTGTGCTCTGAGGTTAGAAAATGTCAGAATTAAGATTGACCACATGCCTCAGGATATAATAAGGTAAAAACTTGCATTATGGTAAGTTCTCTCCCTTCTGCTGAGATGTTGTGTGTGTGTGCGCATGCACACTTTCAGTTCATCATAGTGCCAAGCAGAAGGAGCTAACGGTAAAGGTTCTGCAGTCATGAGTTTTAATTTTAGCACATGTTACTTGCATGTCAATGGAATGAATGTGTGCAAGGGAATGAAGGAGGCAGTTACAGTTTCAACTGGGGAGAGAGAACTTTGAAACTATTCTGTTGCACTTTTTATCTGATCACACCTTAATTTGGCCCTGTTGAGTCAATGCACTTTGATACCATCCTTGATTATGTGATTGTAGTTATTGTGTACATGATGGCCTGTCAGAGTTCTGCATGTTTACTCAGAGAACCTGAAAGGAGTGTTTTATTAAAAAAAAAAAAAAAAAACAAAACATAATAGTATGTTGATAGGGTGTTGTAGAATTGAGAAGGATGTTTTGGGGAAGGCTGGTCTGAAGAACTGTAGATTATGCTTGCCTCTGCCACAGATTTGCTATGGTATCCTGTAGCCATGTGGCCTGCAGATAATCTTGCCTTGAAGAGTGTGTAAATATGAGTTAGGTCTAGTCTTCAGTGGGTCTGCATTTGCCGCAGGCTAAAAATCACCACAGTTATTCTGAAATAATTAACATTTGTTGTTCCCAAAACTGTAATCTCTTCTCAAGTGTCATTGAACAGTCTTCTGTTACGTCAGACCCTGCTTTGCTTTGCAGAAGCACTGCATCTCATAGCTGTAGCATAGAAATCTATAGGAGCTGGGATTTGAATGTATGTAATATGAGTTTTCCTTTAAAGGAAAGAAGTGGTCACAGGTATCAGTTTGGCCACTTGTAATTAGCGGGTACGTCTGACTTACTGTGTTTCACTCCTCTGTCTTTTGTCACTCCCTTCCCTTAGAAAAAAATAAAACAGGGACATTGTGAGAATAGATGAGTGTTTATGGAGCACTGATACTTCTGTGGTGGGTACAACAGATGAGTGATTCTTCTTCATGAGGTTGGAATTGCATGTGGTCGATGAGGCTTGAGGCTGTACACAGAGTGGTGATGAAAAAAACTGAACACTTGCTTGTTAAGTATCTGTGCGACATAATAAGGATGCAGTTCTGTGGAAACAGTCAATAAGGCTGTATCAGAACGCGCCTGCATTGCGGAGCCAAATTACGGTGACATAGATGACCTTAATTCTGGCGTTTCCAAATTTGCTAATGCTTTCTCATGGGCCTTTTGTATTCTTTTAATTTTAGCTTTTGCATGTTATTGCTATACTAGGAAACACCTTACTGTGTTTTGTTGTTTTGTTGGTCTTCTGTGCTAATGGTGACTGATGTAAAAAATTGGTAGACAGGGTCTTAGGCCTGGTGTTGTTCAATGATTTGGAGGTCAACAGAAAGTCATGGCTGATAATTTACAGATAGAAGCAATGCTGGTGGCTAGCTTAAAAAAAACAAAACAAAACAAAACCAAAACAAAAAAACAAAACAAAAAAAAAAAAACAAAAAAAAAAAAAAAACAAAAAAAAAAAAAAACAAAAAAAACCAACCAAAAACTCTACCAAAAAAACAACAACAAAAAAACCCCCACAAAACCCATAGTGAAGTTTTATGTGGTTGTTAAATTGGAACTATTCAAGCAAAATATATTTTAATACAGCCCAGTGGAAGACATAGCCCTTTGGGTAACACTGTGTCACTCTTCCAGCAGTCAGGGATTGAGGCCTAGGTGTTTGGACACAGTGGAAAACAGTATCAGACAGAAGTGTCCTGTTGGATACTATTGAATGTCTTTGATCTAAAGATAAGGAATATGGGGAAACAGTATCCTGGAAAGCAATGACTGTGAAAAAGACTTTCAGGAATTAAGTGACATCATGTGAGCTCCCAGTGCGAGGCTGTGACCGAAGAGGGTAAAAGCAACTGTTGAAAGCGTAAATGCTGGAGTCATTAAAAGAAGACAGGCAACGTGTGAAGAATGTTGAAATACCACAGTTCTGGGTCTGGTATTTTTAAGATCATTTGGAAAAATGGACAAAATGCAGGAATGCCCTCAAATCTGAGAACTGGAGGAGTGCTATCCGGTGAGAGCATTTAAAAACAATTGCTGCCTTTCCAGGAGAGTATGCTTTTCTGTAGCCTAATCAATCCACCAAGTGACTGAGGGACTGCAGAAGTAAGTTAACTGAGATCTCTGAGTGTAGCTGATAGATTTGATAGAATGCATGCCACTAGTATAAATTGGTAAATGGAAGCGTAATGTTAACTTTTGAATAGAAGTTGATGCTAGGTGTGGAAGTGTGGAAGCAGAGGTACAATTCATATGCTTTCATTTGGCATCTTCATATTCACTGGCTTTATTTAGGTCTTACCAGAGTTTTCTAGCTGGGTAGCTTGGGTGATAGCTCTGTCTCCTCTCCCCTGCCTCTCACAAAATATTAGCAGGAAAATGTTTAACTTCATGTTTAAAAAAAAAAAAAAAAACAAAACAGGGAATGCAAGGGTTAAATTAGCATTTATCGTGAACTGTGCATCCATTATTGTGCTATGCTTGCATTAGTTACTTCATTAACTCTGCATTGCAAAGGCAGTGCATTTCTTTCCTTGCTAAATGAACTGCTGACTCTGACAGCCTAAACTTACTCTTACCATTTAGTTTAACTTCAGACCTTCCTGGTCTGATGGTTTTTTTTTAAACTTGTGGTCTAACTTTTATTTGTAGCCTAACAGAAAAGGTTCAGTTAACTTCTAAGACTAATCTCAGTAGATACTAGGAATTTGCATTCTCAAAGCCATGTGAAAGCTTACATAGTTTTCACAACTGTGATACTGATTAATTAAGCACTTGATTGAAAAATGCTGTTAATCTGTGTTAGGCAAATTTTACTATGAGATGGTATTTCAGATGGTATTTTATCTCATAGCAGCATCTGATGAATGAGGCGGAACATTCCATGAAAAGTGGGAAAAAATGGCACTGTGTGCCACAGAGTTGTAGTCTAGTTGCTCTAAGCATCATTTTGTTTATGACTCATCGTGATGACTTTCATATGGGAGCAGAATTAGAATTGTACATCCACCTTTTACTGGCATTTCATTATTTTTGAGGGTGTTTCTGTCTAACATGAACACTCTCTGAATGTCTGACTTTATTTTCCTGCAGATTCCCTATAAAAAGAAGGGATTATAAACATTGGAAAGGGTTACTTTTGATTTCTGACATATGGCTGGGTACTAATTTAACTATATGAACCTCTGTACTATTAAGACTATGTTCTCCTAGGCTGTCTAAATTTGCAGAGCCATAACAAGCAGCTGTAGGGACGTTGTGTCACACTGTCAATGGGAATGCTGCAGTCATTTCTGTTCCTTGCTCTCAGAAAGAATACAGCGAAAGTGGTGTTAGTTTAGAAGCACAGTGGGGAGAAAAGATTAAAAATGGATATTAAGCAGAGGGAAAAAAAAAATCAATTATTTCATATTGTCTTTTGTTCATGCTTAGCAAGGAGCACTCCCAACTTTTCTTCTCCCCAGCCAGGAGAATTTCACTGACGTAGAATACTGAGACACTGCCGGTGTCAGATGCAATGTTCTCATTATCCATATAGATTTAACATTTTTTTGAATCCATATTTGCCCACTAGAGGGATGATTGCATTTTCCCCTTTAATATTTGATGTTGTCTGAGGCAGAATGCGAAACCTTTAATTAAATGGATCATTTGTTTCCTTGAAAATGCCTGATACTACACAATACAGAACTCTGAAATGCGGCTTTCTGCTATATTCCAGGGTTTTTTTTAACTCCTAAGGCTCATGAATTTGATAATGCTACGTAACGTTCTTGCTCTCTCAGGGCTGATGCTAATTAGATGATTAGAAAATGAGTCCTTGCAAGACTTTCTTTCTAAATGTTGTTTGAAAAACAGTAATGGAATGTCTATAGCTGCTAAATTCAGACAAGAGGGGTTTGTTGGGGAGGAGAGGGGGATGATTTTGCTAACAGTCAGATTTATCTTCCATTTTTATGCAAGTGCTGGAGAGGTTTTGAAATACCTTCTTTCTAGTTTTATTTTGAAAATGGAAAAGGATGGTCAGTCTGTTTCTTTTCAATAGTTTGTTTTAGGGAATTTCTGACCTGAAGGCAGATACCTGACAAAGCAAATAACTTCTGTGCATCCTTTCCCTTACTTATGGAAAATAAAGTAGGTAGCTTTATGGCACTACAGTTTTAATGCGTGGGACTAGTTAGACTTGATGACATAGTTAAGTTCATTAATTTTTCGGAACAGAATAGGCTGTTTAAAATATATAGTCATGTGTACAGCACAGAAGAGATTAGTGCCCAGCATTGTATTTAAACTAGAGCAAAACCTTTAGAAAGAAATTTCTCTCAGAAGGGTAGATGGATTCTCAAACTATTGATTGTAGGGGCCAAGTGGTTGAGACTATACTATAGCCTCCGAGCATTGTTCTGAGGATGCATTATTCTCATGGTTGGAAAGATCCTATTTCCTCTTGGATTTTTTTTTTTACCTTGTACTGTCAATTATTGTTTATACCTTTCTTTGCTCATTTACAGCCCCTAGTAATTGATATTTCTCTCCCTACGTAGATTTATATGGGTATTAACAAAGCTATCTTTTAAGCTTTTCTCCAAACCTAGATAGTCTGGGCTCAGTGAATCTTTACTGCAAAACCAATTTTCCACATGCCATCATTCTTTAAGTTTGCTGAACTTGTCTGAGTTTTTCAATAATTGTTGACTATATGGACTTCAGAATTAGGTGTGCTGTTGCAAGAACAGTCGCACCATTCCTGTTTTCAAAAATGATAGCTGCTATTCCCCTTTGTTTTGGTTAGCCATATTAGCACAGCATCGCACTGGGAGCTTGTTCTCAATTGAATGGTTCCTTATCAGAGGACTGATACTGTGGAACAGAGTTCAATTGAGAGTAATGAAAGTAAGCGTCTGCTGAGAAGGAGCTTGATAAAAGTCATGCATGGGATTATGCCGTAATTGCTTGCATTATCAGGAAACTGGACTTGCCAACTCAGAGGTATTTTTTAGTTCAGTATTCACTTCAAAGTTCTTTCTAGCGTTGCTGCTTTCAAGGATACAATCCTCATCCTTCAAGTATGACTTGATAACTGCAAAATGCAGGTGTTGTATTGAAGTCTAGCTTTAAACATTTCAGAAAATCTGGAACAAATTGCACAAATGTTTGGGGGTAGTTGGGATTATAAACCAAGAACTACTTTTTTAAAAAGATTATTCTGATGTTCCTTTTTACTCCTCGTATTTCTAATAGACCCAGGGATAAACAGCCAAATTGCTTCTGTTTGTTGATTCCAGAAGGGATTGTTGTGTGTGTGAGGGGATTTAGGTAAGGATGCATTTAGCTTTCATTTTCTGTTAGGGTTTGCAATTAAAGTGAATTAAGAGAAAGATGAAGGTAGGAAACGTGGAAACAACTGTTAGAGAAGATAATGTAAAAGAACAGTGATGGAGAGGAAAAAAATGTTACGGCAGGTGTGTGGTAGAGTGGCTTGCTAGGGAGGCATGGCTTCCAGTTAACTGGCTTAAAATCAAGCCATGGCTTGGAAGGGCCTATGGAAGTTAAGGTAGGTGCTGGATAAATACTGTCTGCATTACATACGCTAATCAGACTGCACACTTCATAAAGCTCCTGGCTCCAACATAAATAGTCACAATAGTAGATGTAATGAAGTATCTTTCTGGGAGGAGATGAATACGATGAAGAGCATGATCAGCTCTCTGTAGCTTGTAATACCTGCAGAGACTTTTGTCACTGAGTAGTTTTGTAAACATTTGTAAAATGTGAGGAAATTCCCAGACAAAAACACAAGTCAACCTGCTGTGAAGGTTGAATCCATGTTAGCCAGACTTCTTCTGGGTGACATTTTTTTTTCTCAGATGTGACCCTGGAAGTTCCAAGTGCAGGTTCAATTTTGCCTTGTTTAATTGAAAAGTCTGCAAATGGAAAAAACGAGTTCAGAGAAACATTAACTCTGCCCCTTGGTTGGCACATACTTGGGGAAAAAAAAATAAAAAGGTCCAGTAACGTGGATGCAGCTTCTAACTCTCTTGTCAAATGGTGAACGACAAAAGCTTTTACCATCTTGAATTGTAAAACAGGGCAGGCTTCTCTTAACAGCCTGGTGTCATGGTGGAGGAACATTTTTGACAGCAGTATCCGTAGCACATAGATGCCAACTGCTTCTTCCTGTTCCAAGAGTCTATGTGTTACCCGATACGTTTCTGATCATTATGGGAACAGATGGATTCAGACTCTTAGACAAAATATTTTGCATCGCATCAGTAAGGCTGAAATGATGAAAGCCCATTAGACCAGTGAAATCCCACATTTGATATCCAGAGTATCTTTGTGAGAGCCGCTAGGAAAGCAGCATTGTTGTTGTTCTCAGCATTTTGTATTCTAAATCCTTGAGTATCTTCTCCCAAAATGGGAGCAGAGTTAAGTGGGTTTGGTCATAACTGCTTTTGCAGACTGTGCAGTACATGGAATTAACTTTTATTATGAAGATGAACCTTAACTTGGGATTTCCAGGTTTTCCAACCTTTTTTTGACTGAAAAAAAGTCTTAGATGACCAAAGTGGGTTTTGCCTGGGAATTATTCTTCCTGTCCCCTTCAGATTGCTGTTGGAAAATTTCCAAAGTGCTGCCCTGTCTCCCTTGTAAGCCTAATAAATTAACCTCTTTGATTCTTCCAAGACCTTTACTTGTCCGGCTGCAAAGTATTATTTGGTCTCTTCTGCCAGTTCCTAGTTTAAGTTTGTCCCCTTGGGGCTGGAGTTCTGCGCAGCCGAGCACAGTGTCCCAGGTGAAAGCTCCCCAGAACCATGTAGTGAGAAAACATCCCTTCACTCAGTGTGGAAGACCCCATCCAGTTAGAGTTGATGCATATCGGGGCTTGCCCCCCTGTGACGCTGTCTCTTCCCCTCACCCCGGTCCCAGGTGCCGGATGTGTTCGCTGACCTTCTACTCCAAGTCGGAGATGCAGATCCACTCCAAGTCCCATACGGAGACAAAGCCACACAAGTGTCCTCACTGCTCCAAGAGCTTCGCCAACAGCTCCTACCTGGCCCAGCACATTCGCATCCACTCAGGGGCCAAGCCCTACACGTGCAGCTACTGCCAGAAGGCCTTCCGCCAGCTCTCCCACCTGCAGCAGCACACACGGTAAGGGCCAGAGGAGGCTGGGGGCCCTCCACACTGCATGTTGCCGTCATCCCAGCATGCTGTGAGCACCCTCAGTGGGCGACTGCCTGGGGAGGCCTTGCTGTTTTCTGCAGGCTGGTCAGATCTCGTACACGACAAACCGGCAGTAGCGGTGCCTGACACAGGAGACTTGTCACTTTGCTGGCAGGGGCTGGGTGTGCACAGAGGTTAGCACTGCTCACCCCAAGGGGCATCTGCAATGGAGCGATGCTTTCTGACAGAAGGTAGGGTTGGTTGTGTCAGAGTGAGAGTAGAGTGGGCGTAGGAGGATTGTTCCCTGTCACCCCGGTGTAGTTCTGCCAAACGTCTCAGTCCAGGCTTGCAGCCCCCCTGCTATTTCAGCTGTAGGCTTCCCACACACATCTCTGCCAATGCCCCTCAGTCCAAACTCTATAGTTCCTCTCTCTGGATCCTCCCCCGGTGCAGACAGACCATGGTCTCTTGAATCCAAGGGGAGCACGGTTTGAGACAGAGCAAGCTCGTGCTGTGTTTGGAGTTCCTCCATGTAGCAGATAGCGTGGTGCTGTCCCACCCCCTTTGTGCCCTCATTCCATCAGCACTAGCCAGATGGCGGTCATGTCCAACTGCTGCTGCTCCTCCTCCTCTTCGGCAGGATCCACTCCAAGCTCCACACGGCGATTGTCAAGCCGCACAAGTGTCCTCACTGCTCCAAGAGCTTCGCCAACACATCCTACCTGGCCCAGCACCTCCGCATCCACTCGGGGGCCAAGCCCTACACCTGCCGCTACTGCCAGAAGGCCTTCCGCCAGCTCTCCCACCTGCAGCAGCACACACGGTAAGGGCCAGAGGAGGCTGGGGGCCTGGCCCTGGCCCCCCCGCGCTGCCGGCATGCACCTGTGGAGCACGCGCGCCAAGCATGCGGGGGGCGGGCGGGGAACGCGGCCGGCTGCACCCTCGGAAGGAGGTGACCCACCAGAGTGGACGGAGTGGAGGCTGCGCAGGAGACACTGACCACGGCAGGGCTGAGGTGGGCACGTGCTGTCCCTGGGGATCCTTGGTCTTGCACCGCAGGGGGCACAGAGAGAGAGAGCGATAGAGAGAGAGGCATTGGCCGTAGGGGATCCCTGCCTGTCACCGTGGGGGTTGGACTGAGTGTGTGGAAGCTTCTCCTGGCATTGCAGGGGGACAGGGACAGATGAACACTGTAGGTGATCTCAGCCTGTAAAGGGAAAAGTGCTGGAATGTCTGTCCTGAGAAGGAGTAGAGCTGCTTTCTTGGTACGGCAGAAGCAAGAGAACAGACTCCTCTTAGTCATATGAGACTCCTGAGCTTGGAACAAGGAGCCTGGACCTCCAGACCCCTTGCAAACCCGCTTTCAGGTGGCCCACAGCTGGCCAGGCATTCGTAAGCTCTTGCTCCTCAGTCCTAGTCACTCTCTGAAATCTGCTTGACTGCCTATCTTGTCTAACTTCTAGCTGGACACAGGAGCTGGGCAGAGCTCTCTTTGTCCAGATAGAGAGCATCTGGAGGCAAAATCATCCCCTTCTCTCCTGAGCGGCTGTAAGATTTGATCACAGCATCAGGCCCTTGCAGTCTGCCCTGCCTGCCTGCTCACTGCTTCTCATTTGTGCTCTTCTCAACAGTATCCACACTGGGGATCGACCCTATAAATGTGCTCACCCTGGGTGTGAAAAGGCTTTCACCCAGCTTTCCAACCTGCAGGTAAGGGGCTGGGCTTGTCCTGCTCACCGGTGGGGGTGGCAAGGGCAGCTGTCAAGTGGGAGGAGACGGTAACTTGCCTGTGGTGGAGGAGATGGAGAAATTGGGGCAGCTGGGAGGAGAGGGAAAGAATACAGAAAAGTTGTTGAAACCCTGCATGGGGAGAGATTCCTGGGTTTTGTGGTACTAGTGACCCAAAGAAGTCACATAAACAGTCGCATCCTTTAAAATTGTAAACTTTACTTGAAAGCGGTGAGACCTTGGTAAAGTTCCTCTCATCTGTTATGCAGAGTTTTCTAATTTAGCTGGGTCAAGACTTTTGCTAGACGTCACACAGAATAAAATCTGCATATCCGATTGGTTTTTTGTTTGTTTGTTTTACAATGAAATGGAGGGCATAAGAACAGGGATTTAGGGAAGCAGAGGTGGTGTGTCCTGTTGCAATATCCTGGCAGAGAGGAACTGCAGGGTGTGCCAAAAGGCAAAGAGCTGTAAATGCCTGTGAGCAGCTAAAACAGATTCTGCCCTGAAGGGCAGTGACAGGTGCAGAGGGCAAATGTGTAGTGAGGCAGAAGAGGAGAGAAAAGGAAAAGACTGAGAAAGAGTTGTGGTGGAGACTGAGAAAACGGGGGTTATGGAGCGTATGGACTCTGCTCTTCAACTGCCTACTATGTCTGACAAAAAAAGGGGCATCTGGGGGGGAAGATGTGTGGTGGGTTGGAGAGAGAAGCTCTGTTCCCTATGCTAGGAGCCAGGCGTACCTCCCTCAGCAGACGGGGGCCTGGAGAGCTTGCCCTGGCTGGAAGGGGGTGTCAGAGGTAAAGCCTTCTCCAGTACTAATACTCACTTCCTTCCTTGTGCTTGCTTTCTCTTTCCTCCACCCCACTGCTGCCCCCCAGTCCCACAGACGGCAGCACAACAAAGACAAACCTTTCAAGTGCCACAACTGCCACCGTGCATACACGGATGCTGCCTCATTGGAGGTACACCTGGCTACGCACACGGTGAAACACGCCAAGGTCTACACCTGCTCCATCTGCAGCCGGGCCTACACTTCGGTGAGTGTTTGCTGCTCTGGGGGGGTAGCAGAAGTGGGCACGCTTCCCAGGGAGTAGCTCCTCGAGATCCAACGAGAGCAGCCCCCCTGAGCCGTCGTGTCCCTTCCCATTGCCTTTGGTCTTTGCAAATGTCCCTCCTCTCACACCATTCTTCCTGTTGCAGGAGACATACCTGATGAAGCACATGCGGAAACACAACATCCCTGACCCACAGCAGCAGGTGGTTCAGGCACAAGCCCAGGCCTCGCAGCAGCAGCAGCACTTCCAGCCACAGGGTGGGGGGGCAGCAGGGGGCCCTTCTGGAGACACTAACCAACCCAACCCTCCCCCCCAGTGCTCCTTTGACCTGACCCCTTACAAGACTTCAGAGCATCACAAGGACATCTGCCTCACTGTCAGCACCAGCGCCATCCAAGTGGAGCACCTCTCCAGCTCCTAGAGAGACCTCAACCCAGGGAGCAGAAAGCCTCTTGTGCATAGCCTGCGCCCAGGGGCACTGCTTGTGCAGCGGCCCTCCTCGTGCAACAGTCTCCGGCCTCTCCTTCTACAACAGCCTCTTCTGGCCGTGTAACCCTGTTCATGGCAGCCCCTTGAACAGCCTGTCTCAAGGGGGTGCTCCTTCTGTGCAACAGCCTGCCTGGTAGGAGGATGCTTCCTTGTGCAAGAGCCCCTTTCCTGTGCTGGGATCACTTCCTCATGCAAGAGCCCCTCCTTTCAAACCCAAAGAAAGGCCCCCATTTTGCCTTCTCTCTCACTGTAGGATGCGTATGAAGGGGGGGTGCGTGTTGAGACATGCATGGTGGATGGGATGGAGAGACAGTCCTTGTGCGTACAGGGGCTCGGACACATGTTTTCAGCAGGCCACAGAAGAATGTGGCAGGGTTCACAGCTGGATTGGGGTTCTTTGAGGATTTCCTTGAGTGTCTAAGAGAGAAATATCCATTCCTGTCCCTCCTGCTTGTGAAAGGGAGGAGGGGTCGCTCGTCCTGCCCCAGGGACTGGATGGGAGAAACCTTCTCCCCAGTGGAAGGTGAGACCAGTGAGGGGGGAGAGGTGAGGCATGTTCTCCGGGCGGGACAGGTGCCTACACTGCCCGAGGGCTGTGGAGTATTGCACTCTTTCTCCTCCCTTGGCGGGGAGCAATAGAGAGGAGTCTGTCAGAACTGGCTGCTGCCTCTCTCTCCCAGCTGTCTGAGCAGCACGATGGCCAAGGCCCCATAGGAATGTGGGTTCCTGCTCATTGCTCTTCCTGCCCGTTGTGGATGATGTCCTAGCAGCTTGTACTCCTCCTCTCCTTCCTGCTTCCCCCCCCACCCCCCCACCTCCTCAGAAAAGCCTGCAGGCATCAACAACAAACCAAAAAGCAACTGGAGGGGAGGGTAAGAGACTGCCAAAATAATCATCACCCTTCTCCCTACTCCCTTTCCTGAAGGGTGGAACAGCAGTTCTGACTCACATGCCTATCCTGCCCCCAGTTTCCCAAAGGGAAGGAGGAGGAGGAATAGACCAGTCTTTTCAAGGAGCCGGCAGGAGGCAGGGAAAGGCTAGCTTCTCCTGCTCACCTCCCATCCGTGCTCTCCCAGGATCCCTCTTGCCAAGACGGGCTGGACTCACATGGCAGTGGTGGCCTCTTCTGGACCCTGGTCATGGGAGAGAATCCCCAAAAGGTGGACAGTGGAGAGAAGGGGATGAAGATCCCCACAGAGAGACCAATCTAATGAGAAGGGGGAGCCAACAAGAATAAACTGAAGGCCCCTTGAATTTATATATATATATATATATAAATATCTATTCCCCACCCCTGGCCCGCTCTGTCCTTGCTGTAACCGTTTCTATCTCTGTGTTTATAAAACGCATTATCCTGGCGAATTTTTATTTTCAATCTTTGTTTGTTTTTCCCTTTCTCTTCGTCTTCAATTCTCCTTCCCTTTTGTTTTTATTGGTCCACATGACTACTAGTCTTGTGTGTCACTTGTTAGTTTCTTTGCATCGTGGAGGCTGACTCGGAAGAGAATGAGAAGGCAAGGGAAAAAGCATGTGTTGTTGGGATTTAAAATCAATCACCCACCCGAAGCCTATAGAATCCCAGACTTCTGTATGAACAACCAATAGGGGCTGCTTTTTTTTTTTTTTTTTTAACCACCTTGTATAGAAATAAATTGATGTAAAAGGCTCCTTGAAGGTGCTTCTGCGAGCACGCTGCCCGTGATGTGTGTTCCTTCCCCCTGCACCAGACCACTGCACGAGCATCTTGCCACTGTGAGTCCTGAGCGGCTGTGTGGGTGGGCGCAAGGATACCACATCCCTGCCTTGGGGCAGCCTTGCAGTTCGCCCAGGGAAAGCGAGGAGCTCTGTGTTCTACACCTGTGGAGCCTGCGGCGGAAACCTTTTTTCTTTACATTCAGTCACCAGGGTTGGCTGCAAACGGTTCGAGTGTTTTGTAGATCCATAGGTTAGGCTAGAAGAAGCTGTCTGGTTTGATTCCTGCATTTCATAGGTGACATTTCACCCATTTATCCTGTACTGAGCCCCAAGAACTGATGTGTACTTGAAGTATGTGTTGACAAAATGCAGTGGCTTGATTTTTGAGGCACTGGGACACAGAGAATCCCTTCCATTGGTAGCCTGCTGCAAGGGCTTCGTGTTCTCACTGTTTAGATATTTCAGCCCAATTTCTCCTTTGGATTGGTTTGGCTTTGGCTTCCAGGTACTACTTCTGGATCCATACATCCCACTGATTCAGAGAGCCTCAGAGTACAGTGGGGCCTTTTCCCCTGGACTGGTATTTAAACACTGCGATATCACTTCTCAATCCCCTTTTTGACAAGCTAAGGAGATGGAACTCAGATCTTCCACTGTAAGGGATTTCCCCCAGCCCATAAATTATTCTTATATTTTCTTTCTACATCCTGTCAAATTTTTCAGTGTCTTGTGAAAACGTTCCTTTTGGAATTGAGTGTTCAAGCCCCAGTGCCATGGACAAGGTTCCCCTGCCCTTTGCCTTAAGTCTGCAGAGGATTGCGTTCGTCATTTTCTCGCAGCGTTATACGGAGCTCACGTTAGCTGCTTGTCTGGTGTGACCCCTAGACCATCTGGAGTCAGCTTTCTGTGATAGTGTTTCCCCCTTTCTAAAGGTATGGTCTGAATTTTTATTTCCTAGATACTTAATATGAGGCTGTATCAAAGTCCAGTTTGTGCGAAAGGACCTGGCTTACTGATGGACCAGGTTACTTGCCACTTTCTCAGTTTTGTCATCCACAAACTATCAGTTGTTATTTTTTACTTTCAGATCCAGGTTGAAAATGCTATATTGCATCTGACCTACACTAACTTGAAAAGCATCATTCAGTGCAACTTTTTATTAGCTTCTTTTTGAGACTTGCAGGCTAGGCATTTCTTAATCCTCTTAGTGTGTGATCATGTACAGTAAATCTTTTTGACTTATGGTGCTAGGTCAATGCCTTACAAAAATTTAAGTATGTTGCACCTATGCAGTCCCATTTGTTAAACCAAATATATAATGATGTCATCTAAGAATGAAATTAGGGTTTGGGGGGTTTTCTTTTTTTTTTTCCTTACTAAATCTGTATTTCATAAAACCTTTGGGATATAGGTTTTATTTTTCATTCACTAATTCTTAACAGCTTTTCCATAATTTTGACATTAAGTCGTTTCATTTGCCTTTTGGGAATACTGTCATGAATGTCTTAAGGTATTTTTCTAATATCCCAAGTTTCATTAAAATTGGAATCGATGGGCTAGAGAGCTTGTTAGTGAACTCTTTTAGGACTCCTCTGTTTCTTTGCTGACTTAAAAATATACATCTCTAGTAGTTGTTGTCTCATCTCCTACTTCGATACTAAGGTACTGGATAGCAGTTGCTATTTCCGTATGATTGCCGCATCCTGTTTCTTTCTGAATATGAAATTGGAAGTATTTGTTGACTGATTTCCCCTGTTCTGTGTCACTAGCATTTTCACCATTTTTATCTGGTATGGATCAGTAATATTTGTTTATTTTTTATTTAAAGAAATGAATGAAAGATCAAAAATCCCTTTCTTACCACGAGTGGTTTTGCTAGCCACAAAGCTTTTCTTAAGTTTTTTCTATTTTATGTCTAATTTATGTCGGTTGCTGCTTGGCCTTCCTCTTTTCTGTGTGTTATGTTTCAGGTTTGGGTTTTTTTAAATTGTTTCTTCTTGCTCACGGAACATCACTGAACCCAGGATGAGCTTTTACCAAAAGTGTTCCTCTTCCTTCATTGTGGAATTAGGGCTTTTTTGGCCACATAATAAATTTTTCTTACAGAACAGTTTCATTCACATTTTTCTGCCTATTTCATGGGTTTTTTTATGGACAACTTGATTTGCTCACTTTGGAAATTAGCACAAATTCAGCACAGGCTTGTGGCTCTCCTCTGCACGTCCATATTCCATAGAAACAGGACAAAATTGCCAGTTTCACTCAGGTTATTGTCTTTTATGCATCACCTTGAAGTCTGAAAGATTGACTTGGTTGCAGTGTCTTGTATTAAGCAAGCTACAGTTTTAAACGTTAAAATTCCCTGCGGTGTTTTTTTGTTTTATGTGTTAAAGGTGCTTGAAATCACGTTTCCTATTCCCTGGTTTGATACGTATTTTTCTAATGTCTGCTGTCCTTCTCCTTCTTGGAATCTGCTATCTAGCATGGGGATCCGTATGTATTTAAGGCTGTACAATTCCTGTATTACCAGTTATTTCAAAGGTATTATTGCTCGTGTTTGTGCAGGTTGCTGCTATGCCTATAGCTTTTACTGTTGCCCAGGAAGAAACTAACGATTTTTCACTAAGGGACTTGCCCATCGAGATTTCGAAACGTCACTTTATTCCAGGCCTCTTTCTTCTTTTCATCAATGAGAATTTCTTACTTCTCTGTTTACCCGGAGTCCCACTGCTGGTGTGGGAATACTGGAAGATACCTTACTCCTATTACCTTTGTCACTTACTTGAGTTTGGATTAGGTATTCCTCTTTGGATTCCCAAGTAACATAATCAAAGTGCTTCAGGTGGTTTAAAAAGTATAGTTGCTACCTGTGGGATGCAAAACGTAACATCTCTACAAAATTCTTCCCTGTTGAGATGAAGCCTCAGATTCCACAGTCTGCAGCTTCTCAGCTTTGTGCATTCAAGCCAGCAGTGGTTCAATTATTTAATTCCCGTTCAAAAGAGCGGAAGATTCTCAAACAAGATCCCATGGTCCCTCCTCTTCAGCTCACTGAATTCTTTGGCCCTGCATTTTCTTTGTGATGCCAATCCATTTGTTTCTGTATGTCTGTACCCAAGAAGGCTTGACAATAACTATGGAGTTCTGTATTAGGTTGCATCTTGTATCTTTGCTGAAAGACAGTAGCCCTTTTTCTTCTTGTCCTTTACTGAATTGGTTGTCTGTTCTTAGCTGGATTTTGCAAATTATTGTTGCTTTAAAAGGAAACATCATGTAGGCTGGAAATCATTTAGAAAAGTCACCCACAAACAGTAACTGAATCTCAGCTGTGACTAATGATAATATTGCTGGTCTATAATTCAGTTAAATCTTCAAGAAAGATTTCAGACTTTCATATTTAAAACCTTATGATTAATCAACCATGTCCCTTATTAGAGTTTTTTGTTGGTTATCACTGCCATTAAAACTGCCATTCTATTTTACTACCTTTTTTTTTTTTTTTCCTACTCTATAGGGTCTTGTTATGCCTTTGTTCTGTACATTAAAGTCTTCTGCTATAGGAAGTCTTTTTTCTTTTGTAATGAATTACAGACTGTGATCAAGTCACTGTATTCATCTTTCCAAACAGCTAAATTAAATTGAGCTGGTTTAGGTGTCTCACAATAAGGCTTGGCTCCATTGTGTAGTACTTATCTTTTGCCTTTCTTTTTTCTTTATGAATGAACAGACTGTGCAGTGTTCAGCTGGAAGTCTTGCCTATATTAGGCCTAGACAGTTAATCTTGAGCCACCAAACTTACATTGCCCAAAAGGATATGTAGTTCTTTTAATTAGATCTTTTTCTTTAAATTAAAACAAATAGCATTCTGTTTCTTTCCTTAGCTGAGTGCAACCCCTATCAATTACACTGTGATTTTGCCAAATCAGTGTTAGGTTAACTGGCTTACAGCAACCTGGATGATCCCATTTACTTTTCAGATACTTAAGTAAAAGTATTTGCTGGTCTTCTGGAACACATTCAGAGCTCCTAAGTTGTTCAGAAAAGAAAGCCCATTGCTTCCATCTGCTTGCCAGGTAATTCTTTTAAAATGATTGATTGTCAGTTTCTAGCTATGCAACTTCTGGGATGTTTTATTTAATGGGTAGAACTAAACATCTCCCTAAATCTCACTGGCAATAGGTAATACTTCATTACTTCACAGATTTGTCTACGTCATCCAACTTTGTTCCTAATATAGAATATAATTATGAGATTCTGCTTGTCTTCTATATTTTTATTGATTATTTTATCATCTTTATATCAACTAAAGGATATATATCATGTTTAGAATTTTCTTCTAATATTTTGCAGGTAACGTACCCGAAAGCTGCCCAAGTTTACTAGTGCAGTTTCAGAACATAGAATGAAATTGCTCTGTACACTTCCTTAACTACAAGATAGGTACCTGTTCAATCGTCATTTTAGGTACAACAGATGAAATTTGTGTGCATGGTTTCTTGTTTCTGTATAGTAGAACACCAAAGTACTAGAGAGATGTAGTAACTTGGTCCAACAAACATTTCGATTTCATGTAGTGTCTATGTAATGAATGGAAAAAAAAAAAAAAAAAAAACTGCAAGAAAAGAAATCATGACACCAAAGAACTAGAGTCTATGCCTAGTTTTGCT